TAAAGGTTATTTATTTGTCTCCTGCACAGTAGTTGGTGCTGGAATTTGCATGCAAGGTGACAGGTTAACAAAGCATGGCAGAGTGGTATATAGAAAGATACAGTACTGGTGCTCATTTGTCAAAATGGTGCCTCAAAAGCCTTCCTGATTCAAATAGCCCTCTGTTGTGCTTCTTTAATAGCCCTGGTATCTAGCTACTCAATCAGCCACCAGGCAATCTGCTTCTGCTGTGTACCCTGAAGCAGCAGTTCCCAATTGCCAGGCCAGGAACCCCTGGCTGCCGCAGCTGAAGATGGCTGTTCATGGCTGCTCTGGGGGCCTTTGGCAGATTGGTAACATTGTAATTGCATATTTGAACTTTGATTATTGCATAATGAATGTGCAAATAAAATGTTACAAGTCTGCCAAAGGTTTGTCCGTCCATGGTATTAAAAAAAGGTTGGGAACCACTGCCCTGGAGGATTGACTCTTGACCTCACAAATATTATGCAGCACACAGAAGGCTTCTATGATCATGGAAATACCTCTCTCATTTAGCTGCACCTTGCCAAAAAGGCAGCACCAGTGTGCTTTTAATCTGCCAAATGCATATTCCACATTCATTGTGCACCAGCTCTGCCTGTTGGTGAAGTGCTCCTTGCTGCTGTACAGGCTTCCCATGTGAGGCTTCATGGGCCATGGGAACAAAGAGTATACCGGGTCTCCCAGGACCACTGTGGGTATTTCAGTATCTCCATTTGGAATCTTCTGGTTGGGAAAGAGAATTCTTGCTTGTGGCTTTCTGTATAGGCCAGTGTTGCTGAAGATGGGTTGACAACCCTGCAGTGATGTCAGTGACGTGCATACAGTGATCTGCAAGTGCCTGCAATACCACAAAGAAGTATTCCTTTCTATTGACGTACTGCATTTCAAGGTTGTCTGGGGCCAACATTGGGATATGCATGTGCCATCTATCACCTTGCTGCAGTTAGAGAATCCCATTGCCTCCGAGCCATCCACTATTTTACACTCATTTTCACGAGTCACAGTTCTTTGTAGCAGAATGCCCTGCATGCTTGTGATAACGCAGTCTCAGTGGTGGATGTCCAGACTCCAAACTGATTTGCAACTGACTAGTAGCAGTTTGGAATGGTCAGTTTCCACACCGTGATTGACATGTGCTTCTCCACTGAGATGGCAGCTCTCATTTTGGTGTCCTTGCGCCGCAGTGATTGGGCAAGTTCTGCACAGTTCCAGTAAGTTGATTTTCAGAAGCATTCAGAAGTTCTGCAGCCACTGTTTGCCATCTCAGTCTGTGATGTGATCCATCATGCAATACTTTCAACACAACACTGAACAGCACACTGACACACAGATACCCTCCCACAGACAGCACAAGAAGAACTCCACATGGACTCCTCCTGAGGGTTGAAATGACAGTCTGGACCAATACATAGAATGCTTCCGCCGATGTGCACAGGCAGAAATTGTGGAAAAACAGTATCACTTGACTCATAACTTCAGTTGTGCAGAACGCAATGCCATCCACAGCCTCAGAAACAACTCAGACATTATAATCAAAGAGGCTGATAAAGGAGATGCTGTTGTCGTCATGAACAGGTCTGACTACCAAAAGGAGGCTGCCAGACATCTCTCCAATACCAAACTCTATAGGCTACTTCCCTCAGATCCCACTGAGGAATACATTAAGAAACTGCACCATCTGCTCAGGACACTCCCTACACAAGCACAGGAACAAATCAACATACACTTAGGGTGTGTCTAGACTACATGCCTCCTTCGACGGAGGCATGTAGATTAGCCAGATCAGAAGAGGGTTTCACGAGGCTTACCTGTGCCGATGAAGAAAGGCTTCTTTGTCGGCGCGTCGCGTCCAGACTGCCCCGATCTGCCGACAAACAGCTGA